GGTTTTTTTTTTAATTGTTATGAAATATGTCCTTCGAACTAGCTCTTCCTTGAGCAGCTTCTAATCATGGAGCTCTAAAAGCCTTCGGGAAGACAATGGTCATTATTCCCATCTTACAGGTGAGGAAAGCTTAACAGGAGCAAGAGTAATTTGATTTGCCCATAGCCAGAAGCAGGTTAATGCTGAAGCTAGACAAACAATTTATATAGTTTCAAGCCACTATTTTATCAAAGGGTCAATCTGCCTTATCCTTATTATTATGCACGTCCTGTTTACAGTAAAGAAATTAAACTCAAAGAATAAAACAATCAGCATTAAATCATTAACATGACTCTTTTCCAATACTCCACTTTGTGGATGTGCACAGGGAGATGGATGCATTAATAATGTTCAATCAGTTATAGTGATTCAAAATGGAAAAGAAAGTTCAGATTGCTTAACCTAAATGAAGTCATCAAGTCCACGAAGTTGCCTCTGAATTCAGAGTGTCTGCCATGCAGCAGTAGGAAAGATTTTGTAAAGCAAAATTCTGCTGAACGTGCTCATAAATATTAGAACATTCTTGATATGCTACGCCGAGAACACTGAATTGGTGCTGCAAGCGATGTGTTGCATATCAATTTTGGGAAAATGCTACTATTTGTATCCAGCAACACTACTAGCAATACAAATTGGCTTTACAATGTGTTATACAATTATTTTGGGTCAAAGTAGCCCATTGTACATGAATTCACATAATGAAGTTCAGCTAACAATGGACTTGGCACAGACAAACACATCAGCAGCTGCACTGGGAATTCAGTGGGGGAAAACTATTTTAACCTTTATTTGTGTATGAAATCATCTTTGAAACTGGCTGAAAAATGCAAATAATATACATTAAAATTATAATTCCCTGATAGAAAAGTCAAGGAATTGCTTGCTTAAAATGTAAACTGATTCCAAAATCAAGGGGTTTTAAGAACTGTGATTAGCTGATGAGAGGTGTTTGAGCCAGATGATACTGTAGCTGTGGTGGCTCTGTATCATTACTGGCTTGCCTTCATTTTTTTCACATTGGCAGTTACAGTTCATACATGAGACTCCAAACACACTTTCTATGAAGTGTTTTGGAGAGGTATGAAGAAGGTGACAAATAACAGAAAGCTTGTTCTGTGGTAGCAATAAAGAACTGTCTAAACAGTGGTTTGAGAGGGTATTTTGGTAACGCAGCGCAACATGTGCATCACACAAGACAAACAGTGCTAAGCAGTACCATTTGAAGAATACACAAAGCAGCCATTGATTTTTAATATCAGCATTAAAGGTTTCCATTCTAAGTAATTACATTTTGAAGGAAATATCTTTAGATGTTGCTGTGCCTATTTAAAAAGAATTAGGAGAATATTATATAAACAAGTGCAGGCAGACACATCTTGCTATGACCATTTTACTAAATATGATTCCTCCCCTGATATTTAAACCAGACATTTCTACCAGACATGCTGCAGACAACACTGATTAAAAGGGATGGTATTTTTGTTTGTTTTGGTTTTTTTAGAAGCAAGTCTAGAGCTTATTTTCTCTTTTCTTCTAGTGTGAATAACTGACCAAACTGTCTCTTCTTTTTCAAATTTCAAAAGCCTGCCTGCATGCAAACACACTCATCTGAAACCTAGGAAATCTGGGCTATGGGCAAGAGGCAGAGGGGTTTCAGAAGGGGTGAATGAGCACGTATGCCACCAACTAGCCACATACTACAGGAATAATTGGGTTTTGGGCCTGGGGAAACCACTGGCAAAGCTTTTCCTACAAATGTTACTCACAGATCAAGCAGCAGCCAGCTGAGAGGTCCTGATGAAGATAATCTCTATCTAGCCTTCACCTTAAAGGTGAAGATTTCCTTAATCCCTGGACCAGTGCAGAGACTCCTACAGGGCAGCTTCTTACCTCAAAATTACTGTCCTGTCCCACAGGAGAGCTTCCCTTTAAACTGTCCTGTCAGTCCACCAGTTCAGGTCATACAGATATTTTAGGAATTTCAGGTTACTTTTGAATGTGACGGTGTTTTGTGGGAGCAAAGACTATTTTGCTCAAGAGACTGGCATTAAAGATAAGGAAACAGAAGAGGTAGGGAAACCATCCTGACAACATTGAAGAAAGATCCATGGAAGTTTCCATGAAAGTCTATTTTTGAACTTGGTTTTCCCTACCTCAGCATTTGCATGAGATTTGAAGGGGGAACTGAGAGCCACCCCTTGCTTAGCTGCTGTGTCTGACATGACATTCATGCCCTTGGCCACAAGACAAGAAGCTGAAGAGACAAGAAGCTGAAGAGCCTCCTCAACAACTTCTTGGATACATCAAACACTGCCCTCAATCACACAGCATTAATAGCTGCTTTGCAGCAAGTGTTCAGTGGCACCTGGAAAGTAACTCTGGGATACAAAGCATTATAAAGACAAAACAGACAAACAAAACATACATGATATGACAACAGTTGCTATTCTTCTGCAGTTTCCAAGCATACAAAAATACAAAGGGTACAACTGTCTATGAGTCCCTTGTCACCACTGCTGCACTGAGCATGCAGAGTGACTTCTGCTCTCACCAGCTCCCTCCAGCCCAAAACCGCCAGGCAACGGCCTGCATTTGACCTCCTGCATTTTGGCTGATCTCTCTTCACGTCAAACTTTTAATTAAAGAAGGAGGGGAAAAATGAAAATTAAAAAAAAAAAAAATGAAGCAGGAAAGAAGTTCATCCAAATCAATTCAAATGTACCGTTTCTCCCAATTACTGTGAAGTGCACAGGCCATCATCATAGTGCATCATTACGCTTAGGAATAATCTAGCATGAAGTCCTATAAATTAGCTTAAATAGCTTGTGTGTTTTCATCCATATCAGTGTATTTCATAAAGATGTATCACTGGTACTCAATGTACAGGGATCTAAATGAAGCAAGCACACATTGCATCTATTTTATATGAACTTTAAGAAAAGACTAATTTCAGAAACAAAACAAAAATCATCTGTGAAGCTTAAACATTATGTCAAAGGAACAAAAACAACAAAATCTTATTTGGTGTTTACACATTAAGTCCTGTTGCCTTAGGATGATTAAAAAAGAAAAAAAGAGAAAAAAGAAAAAAGGAAAAAGAAAAATGGAGAAAAAAGAAAAAAACAAAGAAAAAAAAGGAAAAAAACACCACAAAAGAGCCTTACTGTTGGCATTTCTATTCAAGGCAAGCTTTTTATTGAAAAGGGCTCAGAATTTACAGTGGCACACAAAAGAAAAACACAGTCAGAAAACTTTAAAATATAATTTACAACTCAATTTAAGGAAGATTTCATTTTAGAAGAAATAGCAATTGCATGCGAAGAACAATCCAGGCTCCCTAGATTCTTATCAAGGTCTGTTAGTTTAGGATGCTTCATATCAAACCCTAATGCTTTTATGTCTTGACAGTGGATCACCTTTCCAAACCACAAAAAAACCCTCCACCATCAACAACAAAAACACAACAACGCAGCTGCATGCTCTAAGGAAATTCTACTAGAATCTATATTGCATACTGAGTTCTTTATTAAAACAAACAGACAAAAAAAAAAAAAAAGAAAGAAATCAGAAACTGCGCTCTAACAGTTTTGTTTTGGATCATTGGTGAGTACATATATAATGACTTTCACCTCCTGAAACCTCTCTGCTTCATTCTTATGCATAGACTTGAAGGGACATTTATGTGTTTGGTTTCCTGCCTCAATTCAGAGGATAGAGAGATACTGTAAAATTTACATTACTGCAGGCATATAGTGATTGAGCCGACAAGCACAAGGAATAAGAGCTTTTATTGCATTTTTCTATCTCGGATGGAGAAGAAAAGTGTAGTCATTTGTTATGACAATAGCCACCACAAAGTTTGATTTGTTTATCTATTATATTATATTTTATTTATGCAGAAATGTTCTGGAAAGAAATTTAAATTTCAAGATAAATCACAAATTTGACCTATCCATCCAGATGGTGTTTCTTCTGAATTGATCATGTATTTCAATTTGCTGTACCCACTTCTAGTTTATAGTTGTGACATATGCAATGCACCAAGGACACTTGCCGAATCTCAAAGTTAATTTGAGTAAAACGGTATTTTTTATATATTACTTCCCACAGCACACTCTTAAGAGCAGAAAAAGACATTTTTGTTCTTCCTATTTTACATAAACTTGCCTATAATAAACTAAACTTAAAATGGAATTACAGATCTTTTTAATAAATTAATAAATAAATATGCTTAAAGTTTCAACTGTTATTCTACTGCACCCATTATTCTTGGGAGCACAGGTGAATCAACCCTCTGGTGCAGACAGGAAGGTGACCTGGCCACCTCAGTAGAAAAACTGGGCACTTCCCAGGCCTTTGATCTTTCCCTGTATTTCTACCAATTACTTCTTTAAAATCCTTTTGAAGGGGTAGAGTTAAGTTAATTTGGGGCTGGATATATACTGCCCAGGACTTCTTGCAGAAACTGTCAGCATAAATAAAGATGACACTAGAGTGCAAGGACAAAACAACCTAGACTTAGATGGCTGAAAATACTATGTCTCACTTCCGTTTAAACTGTACTGCCTTTCCAATAATTAATGAATATTTCAAATCCTAATTTTCCAGATATGTCCGTGATCCTTATTATATACATTTCCCCAATTCATATGATTTTTCTTGTTTTAATTCTGTTATTCCAAAACAAAGAAATTAAAATAGAAAAATACTCAACCCTAGAATCAATTTTAAATGTATATTCTGGGTTGTTATAATTACTTTTTTTTAATGAAGCTATTAAAAGCTAGCGATAAAATATCAGCTGTAATGTGTTTTCTAAATCCTTCTTTTGCTCATCTTGGTAAAATTACTGTACTGCTGAAGGTATCAGTATTAGAATACCAGACATTTTATAAATGTGTGACTGCAAATATTTGCCTGAAATACCAATTATAAATAATAAGAATTAGAATAGTCAATACCTGTGGTTAAAGGCAGATGAGTGACACTGTTTAGACAGGTGAGAGTGAACCAGGTTGATGCTAATGTTGCTCCAGATAAAAGCAGCAGCAATATAAATTTCAGCATTCCCCTGATAAAATCTGCAAATCTAAAATAAAAGCACAGATCAGAGCAGTATATATGCTATTCTTCATATTGTTTGTGATGCTTGGCAATTAATTCAATACATTTTCATTAAACATTTCCAAGACTATAAAATAATTTTAAAAATCTCTTCTCATTGCCTGAAACTGAAAGAAGAAAAAACACTATAGAGTGGTGATATCACTAGCTGTCAAGCTGAATAGCCACAGATTTTACAGCTGTCAGAAAATAACCGCCAAAACACAAAAATCTTGAGGCATCACTGAGAATACTTGGTATGCAGAAAAAGAAAATCCTGCATTTGTTGGAAACAATATCACACCACTACTCACTTGGCTGTTTTGTCACTGTTAGCCAGTCTCTCTTGGCAGACAGACTCATCAATTAGCATATGAGGAATGTGATACACATCATTCAAAATACAGTTAAGACTCATTCCTGTGGCAGATGACAAAACTGCAAGTATCAGAATCCCCAGATAGAAGAGAATGGCTTTTGAACTCTCAGATTTATGGGCAATGAAACTCCCAAAGGCTTTGGCAAAGCAGGTTACTTTATATATATATATATATACTATATATATATATACTATATATATATATATATATGTACATATATACATATATATCTCCTGTTTAGGACAGCTGAAAATGTTCCTTATCAATTGATTTGTATATATACTTGCTCTACAGGTGGCTGTACTGGTTTAAAATATTTCAGAAACCAAGAGGCTTGGTGCCACTCTTTTCCTACAGATATATCCTAGCAATCACCTGGGAAGGAATATCTGCATATCAGACTGCCCAAGGGTTTGCACTAGAGATAATAAAAAAGTTTTATACCAGGTGACAGTACAACTATTTTTTTCATGTGTTTTCAATCCTCTTTCAAGAAGACATAATACATTTGAAAAGTAATACATGGCATAATTACCAGTGCGACCATTCTCTTCAAAATGGATTTCGACATGGATACAGAAAGTGTATATATATTTATATACATATAATAGGAAAATCCAAGGTCGTTTATTCTATCAACAATGTGCTATAGTCTCCTGGTTATCAAGGAATATATGCCTTAGGAATGTCTCCTGCCCTCAGAGTCCTATGCTTCTCTCAGAACAGCTGGCTTGTGGTGGAATCAGTCCATCCTGTCGGTTTATTGCCTGCCCTCCCCTGACAATAACCACTTCACTGGCTGATACTGTGTCTTACATAGAGCTTACTTGGTAAAGCTGAATGCTACCAACATTTTGACAACTAGGATTTCTAGTTCCATATATATATATGGACTAGAAATCCATATATATATACACATACACACACACCCCTCTGTGCCTATATATATATAATATACATATATATCACAAGAGATGTACGAGTTATTGAATCTGAAAAATATATCACATCTTTCCTCCTGTTTTGACTCTCCCTGTAGTTTCATTCCACAGTGAATTTAGCAGTCAGTAATTCAATAAGTAGTCAAAGATGATCAATGCTGCACATGATATTAAAAGCTTATAACTGTAGTGTTCAAATGGCGTATGCACTACTCTCTAGTGGTAGCTGCTAGTTTTTCCTAACGATTCATACCGAGCAATCAGGATCACGTCTCTTCAATAGTAAGACAGATTCTTTAATTATTCTTTTCCATCACTGGGGTCAAAATCAGGAACATAAAAAGCTTTTCAGAAGCACAACAAAGTGCAAACGTTATTTTTCTTCCAGAGATTCCCTTTACCTGTTGGCGGCCAACACCAGTATTTCCTGTTCTGAGACATAAGAGCAGTTACATATATACTGCCCAATTTAAAAAAAAAAAAAAAAGTAAGAAAGCCTTCAGGAAGAGAGATTCACAAAAAACAGGGCTGGAAGGGGTCATTAGAGAACCCTTTATTTCTGTCCTACTACTTGGGATATGTGTGGATGGCAGGATGCACCTAAACCATTCAAGACAGTTGAGCAGAGCAAGTATCTCCCTTCACTTAGTGGCTGCAATTCTTTCTGGCAGAAAGAACATGGTTTTGGTATCAGTGGTAGAAACATCCTTTAAGGACCACTGGGATACCATGGGAATCAGAACCATGGGACAAACATAAACTGAAAGTTTTAAGTGGCTGCTGAATTTAACAAACAACAGAAATAATGGAAACAGTAACTCAGCAAACTGTCCTGGATTTGGCAATAGAGGAATTTCTGCTTCTTATCTGGGTACAGGAGAATAAAGATGATTATAAAACTAGTCAACTTTTCAGAACACTAGTTTCAATCCAATAATTATGGATCATGCTTTTTATTTTTCCCTCCTGTCCTAGAGCCAATGATTCATGCCTTCAAATCCCTCTGTTCTCTTCAAAATCTTCTTCAGCTTCAAGCAGGTAGTTGGGTATCCACATCTGCTGGAAATGTGGGCACTACAGGACAGAAGGTGTAAACTTGCCTATAACTCATCTAGGACACAGGTCTCTGAGCCCAGCATTGGTAACTGTCTCCTGCAATCCACCCAATCTAGCTCTCCACCCCATCCTACAGTTAAATTTGTGAGATAAACCTGCTGTTGACAACACTCTCTGTTGCTACGGAAGTTATCACCATGTCAAAGTCTCAGCATTTTGACTACGCTTTTAGTTAAAAGCTAAAATATATGTTGTGCTGTGAAGAATAAAGCTTCAGAAATATTTATGATCATTAGCAAATGTGACAAAATAAAAAAAAAGTCAGAGAGCAGAGAGATTTATGTTTTCAGTGCAATAAGATCAATAGTGGTCTTCGACATTGCTCTTCTTCAAACCAGTATCATTCTAAAGCTGCCAGCACAGGATACAGGACCTGCCAGAAACCCAAAATAGCCCAGGCTTTTCAATTACGAAAATGCACTACACAAATTAGCTAAACATATGTAAGTTCATGGCTATGGGGAGGGCAGGGATTGGAAAGCAGAACGATTTATACACTGTGCTGAGAAAAACTTGCACCATTTTGAAAATGAGATAAATAAATTTCCAAACTGTGCATTACTTTTAATATAGAAGATTTAACACCTACTGTGACATACAGGGACAAATTCTCTGGTGCAAACCTCAGGTTGCTGAAGTTGCATATCTAAATGACAGAATCTATGCTGCCAAAAACGAGAAGAGCGAATTTCTAAGCTGTACCAATTCTGATTTGACAAATTAGTAGAAGCAAAGTTAGGAAAAACAACAGCTTCTCAGGAATGGCTAAGGGAGAGAGCTCCTTGCTTGACAAGTCACAGCTCTGACACTGAAAAACATCAGCTTGTCACAGGTGACAAGAATCATTACCTAATTTTCCTAATTACAACTTTCAGCAGATTACAGTCCGACTTGTCATTGATTCAATGCTACACATAGGTAACTGCTGAATAGGCTTAGGAGGGAGACTCATCCATCAGCAGTGACAAATCACCCCCTCCCTCACTTTTTGTGGGCAAACCCTCCAGTTTGAACTGCTTCAGTTGGAAAGACATGGTTGAAGATAGACTGTTGGTATTATTTTTTTAACTTGCTCAAAACCTAAATGCTACAAGAGCCTAGTATTCATTTGGGTTTGAAATCAATTCCAAAGAAGTTAGACTGTCAATGCTTCCTTCTACTTAACTCAGGCAATATATTAAATAAATTCATATTCCATAAAGGTTGAGATTTGCAAGTTGGCACAGAGTCAGCAGATTCTCTCCTGACAAAGTAAAGGGAGCTGCTAAGGGTGCTCCTCTACTTTTGAAATGCCCTAATATAAGAGAGATTAATCTCAGATGTGAAGGATTAGACCAGCACACTAACTCCTTCATCACATAACCTGCTATAGAATCTAGGTCATTTACTGGGTAGAGTTTCCTTTATAGCATCTGGTTTTAAACATTTACTTGTTTTAGACAAAAAACCTCATGTCCAAGCAGAGCTAATCAAAAATGCTTTGCAGAAGCAATCACTATGATCTGGGTCTGAATAGACCAAGTCCTCTGGGCAGCATTTGGACTGGAGAGATGAAACATTTTCTTTCCTTTCCTAGGTCAGAGGGTATTTTCCTCACCTTCCTTTCTGGCTGCCAGGCAGTATGCAAAATGTCAGGAAAAAAAAAAACACGTGTTTCTTTAAGCACTACCTCCTATTTATCATACACAAAAAAAGAGCTTTAAGTTCTGCCACAAGATGATGCCAGTTTGGGTCTACAATCCCACAGCCACTATGATGACAGATCCCTATGCTTGCAGAACTCCTATCTGAAAATATGATTGGTTTTAACTGTTTTATAAACTCCCTGCTCAAGGAAAGGTGTGTGTGGTAGGGGGTTGTTTTGTTTTTGTTTTTTTTTGCTTTCTTTTGTTCTTTTTTAAAGGCAGCTCACTGGAGAGAAGGCCGCAGCCTTTAGGCAGGGCTTTCCATTCTTTTCTCTGCCCGCTCCCCACGCCACTCAGCATTCACGACAGGCAGAGGTACCAGTGTCTGCATATACAGAAAGAAAGCAGGGGTTCAGCCACTACACAGCACGTAACAGAGAGCTGTTAGGCCATACCAGAATCCAACAGCCTAGCCAAAATGGGTCCAGACTATTTTGGGGTGGAACTTCATGTTACTGTGGTTGTGTTGCCCATGTGACATTCCCAGAATCCTTTCAGGAATCATTACGTCCAAAAATGATGATGGAAGAAGACAGACACTCTTATTTCTCTGATGTTTTCCAAATCTGGTAGAAGGCATAATATTTTCACAATAACTATGTTCAAAAGAAAGCACTCATCAGCAAGCACTTGTCAAGAATAACTATACGACTTGTCAGCTTGAGACGTATGCACACAGACCAGTAAATATGGTCATGGCTCTACAAACACACACATCATAACCCTGGAATTATGCATTTTCCATTTCAAGTATCTAAAAGGTGAGAGTTAGTGAGAGTAAATGCCAAATTATAATGACAGTTGAAGAAATGGAGAAGGAAATATAATTAGCCTTACCTTGCCATTGCTATGCCAACAACACAACCTCCAACTATGGACCAAAATCCAATCCAGCCTGCATCTACCTGATGGAGAACAAAGAAATGAACATGGAGAAATGTATTAAAGCTGAAAATATGAATTTTACTTTCAATAAAATAAATAAATAAAAGGTGAACAGGGGCTGCAAACTGCTAGCAAACCTCTCCCAATTTGAATAGCCATATTTTTTCTAGAATATTTTAAGGAAAAGATATGACCGAGTAGCCTATGACCTGAATGTGACCTCTCCTTAAACAGTCCCCTATATTACATTTTTTAAAAATAGGACTCTATTAAAAGCTTAAAAATCCTCTTCTCTCCTCTTCATCCTTTCCACCTGGTAAACATTATTTTCTTTGACTAAAGCCAACTATACTCACACTTGTTTCTGCCTCTGTTCCTGTCAGAAGGTGCATACAGTTCTGAAAATATTGGCCAGTAGTGAAAATTTCACAGGAAGAATCATGACAGTTTGGAATGCCAAATCTACAGTTTATTTTGTTTTAAGTTTCAGGAGAAGAGGGGCCCATATGTATTAATAGAACCTTAAAAAAGAAGATTTGCTAAAAATTGCATGTTAGTACAAAATAAGAACATATCAATTGCAGGTGATTATCAGTCAGGAGATACTTACTTGGCTTACATGAACTGGTGTTAATATCATATCCAGAACACCAGACCAGCCAGAGAAAACACCCAATGGTATAGCATAGGCTAGAGCAATCATCAAGAATCGGAAATTGCTGTGAAGACAAAACATACACAATTAGCTGCTGCTTATATTAGAAATTGTACCAATATTATCTGCAAGAGGAAATTCCAGCCTAGAATCTATACTCTGCCCAACCAGAAAAATAACAGAGGTCTGAAGAATGAGTAAGCCAGAAAAAACAAGTAAGGTATCAGGCTATGTCACTAAAATTCCAGCGGTTGAGATATTAATGCCTTAGCACCATAATAAAAAATATATATATACATAAAAAAGAGCCATTCTCTCTACATAGTTTAAAGATTTTTGTAATGTGCTGGGCTCATATGTTTCTCATTTCCGCAAACAAATTGGGGCAACCTATTAACCTAAGTATATATTAGGAACAATAAGCACTAATTCAAATGACAAAAAGCATATTTCAAGTATAAACTGAGAGATTCATGTTCATTGAACAGTACTCTTTCTGTTCTACTATTTTTAAGTTTGGTGAAATGCAGGGCTTGTGGAATGAGCTGGGTACAGTAGCACGCATAGAAAATGTAGAGAGTTTGAACTATCAAAAGCAGACATAAGATTCTGCTCTGAATATTCAATGTGGTTGGATTTTTTCCCCAGTTAAAATTATTCAATCTTCAGCATTCAGTGAAGATGAAGCAGTCAAAGTTACTATCTTCACCCTAGAAAACTAAATGGGAGTTAGCAAGTAATTCCTACCAATACCACCACTAACCTCCATTACTGCAAATGAAAGCAAACAGAAAGCTTCTGCTAACAGAGGCCCTATTCTTCCTCTGAAATATTTCAATTTGGGAATAAACACAGAAAATATGCCTCAGATTCTGCAACATTGATATTTCTAAGCATTTTCATGGTCATTCCAATTATTTTGTTGCTTCTGAAATTCTTCCCAAGGTGGTATCTGTGTAGGCAACATAAAATGTGCCTCCCTCCATCCTTCAAGTAAGTAACATAAAATACTTTTCAATACCAATTCCTTGGCATGCAGTGGCAATTTGATAGTACATAGTTACCAAAGCCAAGAAGAAGGAAAAGAGCTTCTAATTTATTCTCCAAAACATTCAAAGATTTGCAGCTTATGTTTTTTTTACTTCTTTAGAAGATTCAAAACACACCACTCTTTGGATGCTATTCATTTTCACACATCCGCTTCTTGAATAACACATTTACATCATATGAACATATCCTCCTCTTTCAATATCATTCATGTCAGATTTATTTTTTAATGCAAAGAAAAACAACTCCCAAACTTTCTCTTCTTGCTCTCTCTTGTTCTGATTATATTTCTCAGAACACATTTGCTTTCTGCCTGACAACTTTTTTTCTCTCTTAAGAATGTCATACTCTTATCCTAATCTATGTTGCATCATCTTGGCATCTATTAATGCAGACTTTCTGAAATTATTTCAGGCTATTCATGTTAAAGTTATTCCAGTATTTGCAGAATAAAATAAAAGCGAAGTGTCCCACCGTCCATGGGTCAAACCATGCTGTTCCCCACCATGCCAACTTTTATGACAGTGTATCAGCATTAGCCACTTTTTCAGACACTCTGCTAGAATATGAATCGTCTTTTTTTTTTTCCTTCCCCCCCCCCCATCCAATGCTACTGGAATCCATCAAAGAGGCTAGTTCAAAGGGGAGCATTGTCAAAGTCACTCAGCATTTTTGGAGAAGTTTGACAGTGCCTACTATCATCAGGCATACTGTGAGCAGGTGTCTGATTGGATGATGATACCACATCATGGTTTCATTAAAAAAAAAAAGGATAGGAACCCTATTATGAGCTTTCAGGATTGCTTACATAGTCCCGTGAAAAATAAAAAACACATGCAATTGGTGAAAAGCATCTAATTACTTCAAAGTAACATCACTACAAGTTTTTATAATGTGAAATTTTAAAATGACTCATCAACTATTTGCTTGTATTAGATTTTTCCCCCCATGTAAATCAGTGACATACTCTGAAATGGGAGAAAAAAAAAAAAAAAAGGATGTTTACTTTACTCAAGAAACTGAGAAAGGGCATAGTACTTTTTCTAATGGAAATTCAAATTACACTTGTCGCAGAGTGTGATAGACTGTTAAAAGAATTGGGCTTAGCTCCCAAACCATGACTAATCTGTCATCTCCCATTGCAAGCTGAGAGAGTTGATACCAGGAGATAACCAGAGATCAGAGACACTCTATAATTTGTGAGAAGTAGGAATCCTTCAAGTCGGGGAAAAGAACAATGTTCCTAAACAAGCCCCAGAAAAACATCTTATGGAGGATAGTTTTTACAGACAGCAACCTAAAAAGAGAAGGGCGCACTAAGGTTTCCTTTTTGACCCTAAAAAGATGGAGAATACAACTCTGCAAGCAGCAGGCCACAGAATCGTAGAATCGTTATGGTTGGAAAAGACCTTCAAGATCAAGTCCAACCGTAAACCCCTCAACACCCTGTCTGCTAAACCATGTTCCTAAGTGCCTCATCTACATGTTGCTTCAACACTCATCGAGCTCTCAAGAAAAACAAACTGCCTTTGAAATGGAGAAGACTGCTCAATGACCTGAAGGTACCAAGGCGTGTACCAGTTGCAAGGATATGGTAAGATTTCTTTGGTAGCAAATGGGAAAAAGGTCAATGACTTTAATGGTGAAGTTGTGCTACACAGCTTTATTTTGAAGAAATAAAACTGAAACCTGAAATGAGAGAAGAGAAATGATGAAAATCTTCTCAAGAGGTTTTTTGGTGTGCGGTTGGGTGAAGCCCACCAGCTCACATACATCCTAAATATATGCACCCACTTTTCAAAACAGAGGTTAAGGCTTCAATAAGTCATGATTTCTTGTACTTATCAGCTGATTACCTTCGGTCTTTACTGCTATGTCAGAAAAAGACTCTTTGTGCCAAGAATTATGAAATCTAGATTAGGCAAGCAGAAGATGTCTAATGAACCAGATGACAGATTTCTGTTGAAGCACAGCAGATACCATTTTCTTTTATAAAACACCCTTGCTTGATAGATTGTTGCTGAAAGGCTCCCCAAGATAAGTGATTTTAATGATGAACTGTTGATTGTTCCATGTGCTGAGGAATGAAGAATTGCCTTTGATAAGGGCTAGCATGAAAGAATGCGTAAGGCCAGAGGGAAGGAGGGGCTGGAAATGATCTACCCCACTGCATTTCGAAAATCCCCTCGGATCTTGCAAACACTGTAGACTCTGCTCACGATTTAACTGTCCTGTTTCTTTTCTGAAGTTTTGTCGATTGGGGATGATAAGTCAGTTTTACCATTTACCTCCTGACTTCACCAGTACCTGAGATCCAGTGTTCACAGCACTTTGAACAAGCAATCTATTAGTTGCAAAGCTCCCAAATGGAGAACTGTCAAATGAAATTTTGTATTTCACCAGCAGTCAGGTGTCGTTTGGGTTTTTATTTGACAGCAACACTTTTACAATACAGCCCTCAGGCAGGGCCTCACCACACACCAGCTCATGTGTGTTACAGCATTACTGTGTGCATTAAGTGCCCTTACGGGGATAGCTATTTTTTTTTTTTTTTAATATCCTGAGTAGGTCAAATTGCAGACTAAACCAGCCAGCTGCATTTACACCTTTTCCCAACCATAAGCCTGCTGCAGGCTCATGAACATACATGAGTAAGCATTTTTTCCTCACACTTCTGAAATACAGAGAAATACTTAATTACCAGAACTGAAACAAAACGCTCCGAAAACACCAAAAAACCTACATAAAGTAGGGCATGAGCTGCTTTTTCAGATCCTAAGCACACTTTTATGAAGTACGGCACAAGTCTGTAATAACTAAATGCATAAAGCTCTGCACTTATCCTATCAAGTTTTAAGTACCCCCATTTTACATAGATTTAGCTCCCATTACTAAATTACAGAAGAGACAATTGCAGCAACAGTTTGAAGCCATCAGTAAAGACAACCAGACTCTGCATCACGACAGCAGTTCTCTTATGCCCTGGGAAGTCTATCTGTGCAGTATTAGGTCCAGGGCAGAGGGCTGGACCACACATTCTACAAATGCTGGGGAAGAGACTCCATCTTATCAAAAAACCTTATAATCTAAGTGGATAGGACAAAAAAAAAACCCCAAACTGCAAAGTAGAAATGTCATTTTACTTTAAAACATCAACAGCTTTGAATAAAACTAATTGGAGTACTTGTCCAAAAATCACAGTTGGTCATTCCTATCCCCACTCCACATTTTAACATACAATGAATGAGATTTGGGTCACATAATGGTTTCAGATATTTCATTCCCATCTCCCACTGCTGAATGAGAGCAACTGGATATGCCTTTGATTGACAGGTAGAACCCAAATTCATTTCAATATAATGAGCATTGAAGAAAGCAGCTTATTAGCTAGTTATGCCCAGCGTTAACAACATCTCTCACATCTATGTAGACTTTTAACAATCTTGTATGAGCTGATGTAACAGAAGTGTTGTGTAAGAAAAACTGTGCTAACAGGATGATTACAGCAATGTTGATGCTGAAGGACTCTGGCATGAAAGCTTGTGATATACTCAATGGCTGAATACTTAATGTCTATGCTTTTTAGCAGTTAGCATCCTTTTATGTGACTGCATTAATATTTGATTTGATTTTGTTTAAAAGCACTGCAAACTAACTTGTTTGTTCTACGAGAAGATTAAAGCACACTTGTTTTTGTTTACTTAGGTGCTGAGCTGCTTTGAAGTGGAAACCCAAAGAGAACCTACCTTAAGAGTCTACAAAAACTTCTCCTGTAGCTAAGCCGTTGACTAGCTGCAGCCACGCTGGGAGGGAACGGAGGGCGTGAGGGGAAGTAGGCCAACGCTGCGGAAAATATCAAGGAAACCATTCCAAATTCTAAACAAGAGGGCAAAGAAAAACAAAACAGAGAACGGAGGTTAGAATCAAAAGACTTCTTCCAGCACAGTATCATCAGCTAGTCTGCAGTACATGAACTCTACCCCAAGTGCTTCACTGCTTCCAACACCAGATCTCTGACTTGAAGAGACTTTTTTTTTGTCCCTTCGCAGTCAAGATCCAAATTAGGATGGAGAATCAGTGAGATGGAGAAATACTGGCAGACCCTTCAAATGTCAAGAGCTGTGGAGTAAAAGTTCACCTATTAACAGTTAAGGGACTAAGTAAAGCAAAAGGAAAGCTGTTAGGAAGAGGGGATGGGGATGGATGTAGTCTGTAAGACAGATTCAAGTGAGTCCACTTGCAGTTTTAGAGAGAACTGCAGTATGAATATATGGTTGCATTGCCTTCTGATTGAAGTAATAAGATGCAGGTAACCACATGCTGGGGATTTTGAACAGATGGGACTGGGGAAGCCCCAGGGCATGGAATTGCAATTTGGAATTGCAATTTTGCAGTGAGCAAGATGATGAAGGTAAATAAAAGGTCAACCAAGGCAGCATTTTGAGCACAAACAGTATTACGTGGCAGTAGAACATGAAGAAAAAACTGCAGAAAGAGCCATGTCTCAAGAAAAGAGGGAATACAGGTAAGACGGAGAGAAAATGAAAAAAATACAGCTATTTCCAGATGCTCTTCTTGTTGAGCAGCAGGTATTCCAGATCAGTAGAAGATCAGTAGAAATCAGTGCAAAGTGATGAGCACCTCATGGAAAATCCTCACCAAGTCCTGTGATCAAACATTCTGAGGGAAAACAACTCGAGCCACAGTTGGTCTAATTTGTTTTACAGGACTTTAAAATGCATGTGGTGTTCCCCACAGTCCTCAATCCAAATATTTTTCCTATCTTCTTTGAAAACAAGATTCTTTATTGATGGAGACAAAAACGTATAGCTGAAATGTGTTATCTTAAAAAGAGCTTGTGATCTTATTGCAATGAAGTGCTCACCAACACCACAAATAAATTCCAGCAGAGCTGAATACTCAGCTGCTTTAATTCTTTTTTTCCTTTTTTTTTTTTTTTTTTTTTTAAATAAATCAATATGAATGTGGCACTCTGCCAGCTCTTCTGCTAAACCTAAAGAAAATAAATTCAGGACAGCAAAAAGTAATACTCAGAGTCTGAAGGGACCAGTGGTCAATGGGGAAGATATTTTTACCAAATAGGAAAAAAAAAAAAAATCTGGATGGAATCTTCTACATAGGGGGAAAAAAAAAAAAAAAAAAAAAAAGTCTATCTTAAATTTTTTTAGAAAACTTACTGGGAAAGAGAGGATCCTTCACTGTAAAGTGGCATTGGACGAGGAAGCAAAGCTTGCCAAAAGCTTTTTAACAGCTATTTATTCCTATTTAGCCCCTTCTGCATCTTGGTGTACATAGAGGCTTACAGGCACAGGCAAGTATATGTACACACATACACTGGAATTGCAACTTGAAAGAAAGATTTCAGAACTGCAAATGGGTACAGCCAACAAGAACAGACGAGCACACAAACATCTGAGGTGCTCATCCTTTATCATACTGCAGTGACCCAAGTTCTGCTTTTTGTGAGGAATGTAAGGCATAGATTTAAGTCACAGTAGTATTTTACATTACCTTGACTTCTCAATCAAATTGCAACATTTTTTAATTATGAAATTTAGCATACAGTCATTGTAGCACCTTCTCACAACTCTAATACTTCAATGTTGTACTTTGTATTTGTCTTGCAACAACTGCCCTCACAAACACAGAGCAGACTTCTCTCTGAAACATATCTAAAACCCAATCTGTTCCACCTATTAAGGGACATCTTCAGTGCCACCTTAGCTTTGTGCATCATACCTACATGTCACTAGCCCAGGTACCCCCCAAGCATATCCGATTTCTCAGATGTTGCATTCTTTTCAGGAAAAAAGTGCACACTTTTGTCATCACCATCATTTATTGTACCAGACCAGATAAGGATGAATATAATTGCAAGACAAATTTCAGAGTGTAGACTAAGAGTGAAGGGTAGTCCTGGTAAAAGATAAAATGTAAGTCCCACAAGAGCTCCTACACGGGAACCGACTGTCCGTTTCTCAACGATGCTGAACAGATGCAGCAAAGCACTTGGAACTGGGCAAGTCAGCATCAACCAAGGTGTGAAAACGCTACCGTGACATACAGCAGTGTAAACCTCCTGCTGAGGAGTGAATCTGAAATGCTTCATGGAAAAATACCTGGGCTCCACACCACAATGACCTGTGAACATCAATGAGGAGAGATGCCTGTGCCTTACTAAGGAAGCAGGCACCCTGCTGCTTGAGTAAGAGGTTTACAGGGATACAGGCCACCTTGATACAAGTTATTTTTCCTTTTGAAAGGCTATCCATAAGACTAAAAACAGAACCAAACACACCTCCAAATTAACCACAACCCCACAAAACTAGCAAGCAAAATTACCCCACCTTAAGCCTGCCCTGAACTACAGGAAATTCTACATATAAGTGTGTATGTACGCTTATACACACACACATATATATATATACTTGACAAAAATGATTTCACATTAATGTTTAGGAAAGCACACGTCTCAGAGCTCTGGCTGGAGTCCAGAATAATTCAAGCAGTTCAGCTAATACAACTCAATCCTGATTTGCTACCTCTCGGCTATTCCAGATGTGAACCGGAATGTGTAGAGACACAGAAAGAGGTTGTGATAATTCAGCTGAGCTCTTAGTCCACATTTCAGACAAAAGAGCAGCAATTTATTAAAATACAGAAGAGACAGGAAGTATCAGAGCAATTTCGGAATGGGCTTATAAGCAATTGCTTCATAATCACATCTGAGGTTAAGTTCTTGTAAAACTGACGTACTCATGGCACATTACTGATCTCAAATTAATAATTCATATTATACAATATTTTAGTAGACAGCACTAACTTTTGGAAGCTATTTAGCTAATATTATCTCATAAAACAACAAGCTCCATCATAACCAAAGCACATGTAAAAATGCAGAGTGCTTATCCTGTGCCACCGTCTTCTCTGAAGCATTTTAAAGAAAAAGACATGCCAGTCCTGACTGCACTCGCTAAGAAAAAGGTAATAAGGACACTTGGGTTCAACTCGTTTAACAAACTGTATAATACCTTTATTAGATTCTCTGAAGTCAATTTGAGGTCCATATTCCACCCACATGATGAGCAGGATAAATGACACTATCATACCCATTTAAGTGTTTTGTGTTCTGCCAGTGAACAGAGCTGAAAACTGCCCCTTACTTGCCAAAAAGCAGATTTTCTTCCACCTCTGCATCCCACCTGCATAAGAGTGCAAGAGGAAGACGCTGGAGAAGTTGCTACTAGAGATCCCCAGGAGAGAGGACTGAGGTGAGACGGACAAGACAACTCCCATAAAGCATGGTAGGCAACCTTCTCTTGTGACAGTTCCAATAAACTGTAAACCTGTTGCAATTTTTGCCACCATGGTTTTAATTCTCTGCAGCCCAGTAAATACTCAGACATGAGCTCCTTGCCATTGGCTGATCAGCTAAAGAAGTTGTAGTTCCTGAAGCTAAAGCACTTAGGTTAATGCCCTTTTCTAAATACTGGATTTTTGCTCCTCATACTCATTGCTCTTCAGGACACTGACTTGCCTTCACTTTTCCTTCTCTCACACTGACCATTTTGTCATGCCATGAAGTCTTCAGGGTCTAACATCACATTTATCTCTGAAAAAAGGCCTAAACAAAATCATATTTCTTTGTTTTACTGTATTTACTATAGTCCAGTAAAAAGGCAGATTACTCAAAAAGAAAGTCAAATACCCGCTTAAATAGTCATCTGACTTCCACTATGCTTTCTTTGAAGTAAGGCAAAGTGGCCCTCACCCAATAAAAGTATTAACTCAATGAAGTTTCCATAAAAATAATGACCAGGAAGAAGCGGTCACAAAAAGCCAACTGAATCCCCATAAACCTGAATATAAACTACACAGTATATATACTTTAAGTCTTCTGGAGTGCTTAAGGATAACTCCTGGTTGAATTTCACAGCTAGAATTAAGAGGGGAAAAAAAAAAAAAAAAACTCCACAATGCCAAATGTGTCACTGACATGACATGGTAAAGTTCAGTTGCTCTTAATGCTATAGAAATTTATATCCACTAAGACCATGCCATAGAGTCTGAAACAAGTTAGGCAACTCTTTCTTCAAAGCCTGCTGCTGAGCATGGCTAATTTAGTTTTAAATAACACAAAGAGCTAGAGAAGCCACTGCAAGAAAAAAAAAAAAAGGCAAGGAAAAGTTTTTTCGGGTAAATTTTACACCAGGATTTTTTTTTTCCACTACACTGTTGTCACGTCACTAAAATTGCTCAGTACATAAGAATTATGTGAATTTTGTTAAAACAGAAAGTCTATTGAGTTTTAATTTCAGCATCAGATCCTGAAATACTAATCATCTAATCGCATTTGAAAGGCATATGTAAATCCTAAATGCAGGCTGATTTAATGCTGAAAAGAATTTAATGTTGCAAGACTATTGGATTTCCATCCTCATTTCCCCTCCTCACAAAAATGCACAGAAAGGAAAAAATACAACCTGGAATGGACACATTTATTATGAAAATTCAGGAAATGGCACTTTAGGAGCTGTCCTAGAAGATGTTTCTCTCAAGATCATCTGTTTGAAGCAACGGAATGACTTCATTTAAGAGTCACTCAGTACAAAAGGCCATTTTAAACTCTCACCTGCACAAGAGGGAACACAATTGAACTCTTCTGAATAACAGGGTGGTGAAATGTTCTACTACTTTTCATCCATATTTCCATCCAAGTTGTTTTCTTGGCAGACCAGCCACTAGAGGGCAATGGTTCACAAGTACCAACAAACCCATTGGTGATGCAACTCAAGTAAATATGTGTTTTAAAACATTATTATTATTTTAAATCACACCTGCATACAGTACAGCCTCGATGCGGTCCTTGATGTGCTCCATGTTGCTTCCTGACCCGAGCTGATGCGATGATCCGTTAGGAGAAGGAACGACGAGAGGTCCCACCAGGAAGGCACCGGCGGCACCCAGGTAACTGAGCAGAGACGCGATGGCGGTGGCCGTGGCACGTTCATCCGGAGAAAACCACGTAGTGGACAGGAACGGCGCCGCGTTCATCACCGTCGGCCCTGCCAACCCGTTCAGCAGCTGCCCGCCGTGAATCAGTCTGCAACGCAGAATGGAAAGCAAAGCCATTTAGACATTTATTTTTATTTATTTATAAAATAATGGTAAAGATAGGCAGTGCTTGAGGTGGATTAAGTGCATAAATGCACTAGAAGTCCTGAACAAATAAATAAACATTCTCTTCACTAAAGGAGGCCCAGTTAGACCAGTTTAGAGAGCCCAGGGCTACCTCACTCTCATCCTCTCTCAGAAATGGAGAAGCCAATGTTCTGCTCAGAGAAGAAAAGCAAGAAGGAACTAAAGGGACTCTCTTTGCAGGAAAAGGTATCATGACAGGATATAAAAGGACAGAAGGCTTTAGGAAAGCTCTAAAAATATAAACACTCGAAATCTGATCCCTTCTATGCCTGCATAACAACAGAAGATTTAAATTTGTTATGCCAGCTCCGCAACTGAAACACTTCAGGCAAACACTCTGCGTGTTTTTTTCACTGCATTATTTATTTTCACTCACGCGCTGAGCTGAGCTCCGCGTCCTGACGGCTGCGGCTGGCGAGGGCTCCGCGGGCCTCGGCGCCATCTGCAATCTGCCCATGCTCAACACACTGGTGCAAGAGCCGAAGAAAGCCCGTTTTTTCCTCATTTTTCACACTCACCAGGATTTAACAGATAATACTGGTGACAAAGCTGAGATACTAGCTCCAAGCGCTGGAGTCTCTACCAGCTTTTGCTCAGTATTAGCACGAGCACATGCAAGAGGCACTTTCTGAAGGCTCTTCTAAACGTGGAATCCAGCCAGAACTCTTCCACTTTGACTTTTGCAAAAGTGATCAGCCTTGAAAGGCAAAAGCATTTTGGCATTTATACAGAAACCTCATGTCTGAAAAGAACAGCTAGCAAGTCAACCAAAATATTGCACCTCTCCAGAGCAGATCATCCATTGTGCAATAAAATAGTGGCAGATGCTATTTTAAAATGGATAAGGGAGGGAGAAGAGAAGAACTCTTTGCTTTTTAAAGTGTAGTGTGGACTCTAGTGTTATTGCTGCAAAACTGGAGTTGTCAGACATAAAAAGCTATGGTCTGCACATGGGAAAACATAGGCTCGCACGTGGGCAATGTTTCAAGTCACCAACAGCTAAATAATACACAGAGTGGCAGGAGGTTTTCATTTTCTTTTTTAAAGCACACGAAGGAAAAGGTATGCAAGAGAAAAGCTGACACTGTTTATCAAATTAACAAGCTCGCTTGCAACAATATATGCTACCAATTCCCAAATGATCAGAAATTAATTTTTAAGCAAATTTGTAAAAAAAAAAAAAAAATACACATTATTAAAAGAAAAAGCTATCATATATAATCTGAAGGAGATGCTTTCTTACCTAGAAAAAATGCAGTCTCCACTCCGAAAAAAGGAAACACTCTTTTTCTAAAGTTTCCATAGGAAGGATAGATTTCACTGCTATGTGTTCATGAGGTGCTTAAGATGGACACCAGAAGTTAACCATGGTCAACTCTTGTCAATGCTCATTAAACTGGGACCTCCAATAAACTAAAATAGACTAGTTCTAAATAAATAAAAATCATTATCAAAACGATGCTCCAGTATTTTTTCTTCGGAGCTGCAAAATGTGAAGTAATCACTAAAAGGTGAACTCAGGGTTATTCTAAAATCTACTGTACTATGTAGAAACTAAGGTATCTTTGTGTACTTTGGTATTTTCATTCTAATTATCTCACTATAATAAATTATTCCCCTAGTTACCCTAAACTGTTTCAAGGTATCTGCAGAGATACTCTCTATCCCCAGAAATGGCAGCATTTCAGTGGCAAGTTAAAAATCTGAACATATAAATACTTTAACAGGTCTTTTTGCCCCAGAGTGAATTTAACGCTTAAATTATAAAAGTCAGGAAAACTGCGTTACCACAAAATAACCTCTTCAGCTAAGGATTATTAACATCCGTGTTCATTTACACCACTAGAACAACACTGTTCTTAAAACAAATAAATAAATAGCGGAATTTATACACACTACTTTCATGTAGCTACACTCCAGATGTGGATTATTCCTAATCAAATACCACCATTCAGTAAAGCTCTGGAAGTGATCTCAGTAGTAGAAGGAGAAAAATATGTTAATTTTACTGAGCAAAGTAAAGGGGAAAAAACAGTATTTTAATTCAGAACTTCTATTTAAAAACCTAACTCAAGACAGAAAAGCAATGATAAAAAAAAAAAAAAAACTTTATTTCTGCCTCTGTGTAGGACTTTCCTGTCGATGCTCCCATCTGTTTTCTTTCCTGCCCTCGCCAGTCTGGCACGCTGTTTGTTCCGACTGCTTTGCCTTTTTATCTGCATTTCTGGCATCTATCAAACTTGACATTATCATGCAGGGCAGAGTATCTCCTGCCTTCCTACAGCTTAGTCTTTCAAATCTAACTTACTTGGCTTAATAAATACTATTTCCAGAATAAATTGCCACTGGTATAGAGACTGCCTCAAACACCCTTGCATATGATAGCAGTCTAAACCTTATTTTATATCCTGCTCAAGTGTTGGCTTGAATCAAGCTACTTTCTCCTGAGAAAAAGATTATTTGCCTTGCTCCTCTCCATATCCTTAAATCATCTCCCTAGAGGGACAGGAAGAGATATTCAAAATGTGGTTCAGTGCATTTAGTAATGTGCTACTCCGGGAGACATGCAGCAGCCGCTACAGCTGACAGAGAGAAATACGAACGCGGCGTCGCTGGGGCCTTCTGCTGTTTATCACCATGTCTCCTCTCCACGGAACGAGACTGCAGTCTAACAGCCTAGGAGTGGCCCTGTTATTTCCCCATCTTCTTGCTTCTACCATCCAAAAGGAGGAACGAGAAGAAAGAGCAACTGTGTTTTTCCCCACTGCAATTGCAGCTTGATTTTGCACAAGATCTGTCTTCTCCAGGGAAAAAAAAAAAAAAAAAAACCAACACTGTGCAACAACTTTAGCACAGGCTGAACTCAGACAGAAAAATATTTTAAATACTTTTTACACTAGCAGCAAGATTTTTATCCGTGCTTTATCCACCTCCATTCTGTTTTCATATATATTATTTGTCCAATCACCATCTAATTATTTTCAATATATTAAAATGTAGCAAAGGTCAGAGACTCATTTCAAGAAAAAAAAGTTTTTGCAATCCTGATCCCCAGGCTTATGGATTTGTGTATGTTCTGACAGATTTGTAACTTGCACCTGAATATATAAGCTCTCTACAAAAAATAGTATGATTTTCGGGACTGGCACTAAATGTTAATTCTAAATATGATATGTCATAGCATCCTAACAACAAGCACATTAAAATTTATATATACACACACACAAGTATATAGTTTTATGTTAAAAAAATGAACATAGAAATGCACTCTTAACGTAAAAGAAAAGATCATGTTCTTAAACTGGCCTGTGAGGTGAAAAAAAGAGGGGGGATGGTGCTGTAATTCATATACACAGTAGAAATTAGAGAAAGAAAAGTCTTGTTGCACTACCTCACCTCCTCTTTTTCAAATTTTTGTCAAGTTTTAAATAACTTAAATTATAGGGTTTTCATCACTTCCCTGGGTTATGCCTGCTTTATTCACTCCCTGCTGTTATATTTGCAATACCATAACAAGCAACTCAAAAGAGAGAGAGAGAGAGGGGTAAATGCTGAAATTACAATATCACTGAATGAACAGAGTATTAGAGGGAGAGAGAGATTATACAGAAAAAAGGCTTTAGTGATTGATGATAACATTCGACAGTTAAGATTGGAAAGAGCTTCCATTTACAGTCTGCTTTACTTATCTTTTTCTTCCTGTATGGGTTGAAACTTTTCATGCATGGTCACAGTCCCATAAAGGATTTGGATTTGTTGAGCTATTCAAAAGCTGTGTGTTACATAAACACTTTCTCTATGTAAAAAGAGCAGACATTTGGTATTTCTAGCATAGTATGTCTCATGCCTAGGATTAAGAGCCTTAAAAAAAAAAAAAGACTCATTACTTCCCTTTCTTAGGTGGCAAAACAAAGGCAATGGTGGAGGAAATAAGGATTCACCCAAGATGTGACCTTTAACACAACTGATTTTAATACAAAGCTTAAAAAAAAAAAAAGTCTCCAAAATGCAGTTTAAGCTCTGTTAATTGAGCCTTCTTTGGAAAGGTGAGGAATGGAGAATTCACAGGGGTATTTTAACACTAATTTGCAGAGTGGAAACAGAGTTTGTCAGGTAAAACACTGGAAGAATGAAGCAGTCAGCCCCAACGTGCAGCTCTAACTCTCTGAACATAAATCTTCCCTGCCAAGCTCTGATGCGCTTCAGGTCAACTGGGAAATTAGGTCTGTTTGGGTCCCTGAAGGGAGAAGGCCTCCTCAGAAACCTTGTGGAGAGAGGCCTTTTGGTTGGTGTTTGGGCTGTTCCCCATCCTCCCCTGCCCTTTTATTTTTTTCTCTTTTTACCATGCTGCTTCTACAAGCTGCCATGAGAAGTGACAGCTTAGTCGTTATCTGGACTTTTATGGAGATGCAAAGAAAATAATTGGTGAATCAATTTTGCTTCTGTTTGGTAAAGTGTGAGAAGCAAGGAAGCCACCAACAGCGCTTGTCTGCCGATACAGGCAGACAGCACTGTGGTAGGCATCCTACACTGGGAAAAAAAAAAAATAGTAGATTATCTGTTGTTCCTTGCAATTACCTTGGGAAGGGATTTTGGATAAAGCAGTTCACATTTTTTCAGAAATGGATGGCTTGATTTTTCCCTCACATGCTTTTGACGAGTGAAATGTTTTGTCAAAAACTGGATTGTGCAAGTCATGTTAATCTGAAAAACAAGTCACTTCATATAGTGACTAGCAAGCTGTGGGAACAATTGGAAACAAATGAAAGGGGGCTTTGCACTGAAGGATGTTCAAGAACTATTGGATTTAGCCTTACTATATGGCAACAAGGCAAGCAAATACCTCCCACTTCAGGGTGTCTGAACTGTTGCATGATGCAACTTGCTCACCCAGAAAAAGGA